TTACATAAGGTTTTACTTGAGGTATAAGGTTTTATTAAATGCCACTCTTCTGAGTTTTCAGTTCCTAGATCTTTTAAAGCCCTTTACACGGCTCTTGTTAGATCTATTTTGGAATACGATTCTATTATTTGGAGCCCATATACGAAAGTAGAAAGTGATACAATCGAAAAAGTTTAAAATTGTTTCCTCAAATACTTTTTAAATATACTTTAAATAATACTTACCTTTTAAAATAAATTTTCAATTGGAATCTCACAAGTATATTCGTTTATATTCTAATTTGCCTACACTGGCATCTATACGAGAAGTGGTGGATATAACTTTTGTTTGTTACCTCATTAATGATTTTATAAATTCTCCTTATTTACTTGAGTACATGCTCTTTAATTTTCTTTTATACCACCCCAAATACCCTAATTTTTTCTATACCTCCTCTCATATTACCAAATTTGTTAAAAATTCACCTCTTTTCAGAGCAATGTCAATATGTAACAAATACCCCAACTTTGATTTCTTTCTTGATAAAGTATCTAAAATAACTAAGTCTCATGTTAATTATAGTAGTCAATATCTATTATATCTTATATTATTACATTGTTTTACATTATTTATAATTTTACATTTCATCAATATCAATATTATATTTAGTCACTTATAATGACCATATATATTTTCTATTATTTTATTGTAATGTATTATTATGTTTCTATTGGGCTCATGCCTGTTTTATCTCAATGAATAAATTATTATATAATACATAACGAATAAAAAGCTTAGATCGGACTCCCTGTGCTATACAGACGTCAGAAAGTCATAGCAACTGCAATAAAGTATAAACCGTCGAGAACTTCTCTACGTAATAAAGCGATCGGGTTTCGATGAGGCCGAAAAATCACGTGTCCATTACTTTATTATACTGTGCTTCACAGTTTGTCCGCGAAGACTTTATACATTTTACGCGAGTAATAAAACCGTTTTAGTCCCATCGTCCGCCGGATAGAAATAATAATTTATTTTTCGGTCGTAAAAAACCACATCGGAGATTTTCGGGAGTTTCAATGATGAAAATAATAATATCGGTGTCATATGTCCACAAATAAACAGCCTCTGTGATCGTGGTTTATTGTCAATATCGCGGCCGAGGGATATGAGCGTTTCGTAAAGCGGTATACAATTACATTATTAAGTACCGAGACGAAAAGACTAGTCGACGGTATGAATATTTTTCTAGTAATGTGGTTTCGACTAGTCGATAAGTCACGTCTTCAGATATTGTTTTAGAATAAATATCAATATCAGAAAAACATTTTTCCGCGGTTATTGTTGTCTTCAGCGTTTCAACCTCTAAATTTTTAGACCAACCGTGTAATACGTAATATTCTGATTGGTTGACCTTTGTACGTATCTATTTTGTTTAATGTGTATTATAGCTATATTTTTTTTTTTTGATTACCCTTTGATTGCAATAATAATTTTTTCTACTTTTCTTTGTTATATGTACGATTTAGATTCCCATTCCACACTGGTCTTAAATTCATTACAACTCTTTAAACTGCATCTACCCACCGTTACTTTGGTCGACCACTTGGCCATTTATTAGCCACAATACTACTGATTATTATCATTAATATTTCAAAGTTTTTCCGAACAAAGTAAACTTAGTTTTTATAAAAATAATACATTTCGTCTCAACAATATTATAATAGGTTATACGTATTTTATAACGTAATGATGTATTACAATATAATAATTTTGGCATTCATTTGAAACTATAAATTCTCTAGAACGCACACTATACTAGGGCAAGTATGCAAAATGGTGATTCATTAAATTATTGATAAGCTCACTTTATTTGCATGGAATAAATAATGTTACATTAAGAAGCTATTTAAACTTTGCTGCATTTGTATTTTTTTTCACTACGATTGGAATATTGGGATTTGTATAAATCTAGCTAAACAAGCCCAAAAACTGTAACTCAATACTGTAAAATGGTCAGAACTGCGTCTGATGGTAATCAAATAGTTATCATATTGACATTGTCAAAATAAGATCGTTACAAAAATGTTGTTCTTTGTTTCATAATAGCAGTTTTCAAAATGACCGTCGTTGAAAAACGAGAATTGTTCTATATTATCATTCTTCACACAAATATAGGCTCTTTACCTAAAAATTCAATTCTTAAAAGTATGGGTAATCACGTCGGGATTTGCTAGAAAATTGTATCCTCAAAGAGAAGTCATAAGAGTAACTACTAACTAATATATAAAAAGTTTTAAAATGTTTTCACTCCGTTCACGGAGTGTTCTTTAATTCTGAAACACACTGTATACATTTGTCATTTGTCAGTTGTTAGAAAAAAAAAAACCATGACTATTAAAACGGTTTCACGGTACCCACTCGTGTTTTTGCCATCATTGCAAGTAATATTAATAATAATAGTATATTAATTTGACGGTAAATATAATAATATAACCGTAGGTATAAAAAAACCCCACATACGGAGATTCGCAGCAGAGATTTTTGGCACAATATTATAATTTGTGTACAGCGTGATTGTATTATTACGATCCATCCAGTTATCTATAAAGTTTAGTGAAGGTGTAGGAAACAAAAATCGAATGAAAATATTCAAGTTTTAATCTCTGTTATATAGGTACTAGGTACCTATCTACGGAATAAGGTTAAACATTTTGAGAATATCGTAAATAAGATAATATTATAATATTATATATAAAACCAAAATGAAATTTGTTGTTAATTAGTTACTATAATATATAATATATTGAATTATATCTGAAATCTTCGTAATTTCTATAGATATTATAGATACTGGTCGATTAGCGAAAAACGAATCACCCTGTATATATCACCATCGACGCCGTTGTCAGTCGGTATATTTTCATTGCCGTTTTTGGCGCCTACGATTCGTACCGGAAACTGACTTACCCCTCCCAAGCTCCTCCAGTCACTCCCCTCGCCTTTGGCTTATTATATACGAAGACAAACACAAAAACCCGAAATTTCCCTTACCACCGTTCACCACCACTACCACTCTTACCCCATTTCTACGCACGGGAATACAATCGCAAAAGGACCGCTTTTGCCTTTTTTTTTTTTTTCCGGGCTTTTTATCCTCACTCGAAATCATTCACCGCCGCCAAACAATCGAATTATTTCGCGTAAACGCCGTGTCGTTTATAATTGGACGTGCGTATTCCCCGGCGCTTTAATAATATATTATTCGGGTTGAAATTAATCCAAATACGGTTATCGCGTTTTGATAATTCGATTTTCCGTGTCAAAAAATACGCAGCGCGCGATTCTCGTGCATGTATACATGCGAGAAAATACACAGAATCCCGTTGAAAAAATAATTTCATTCATAGATGTGGTAAGGTATACTATACTTTAAAATTTCATATTACAGTCAATTTTTCCGTGAGAAATTTATTTTTCAAAAAACAGACTTATAAAACCTTTTTGGAATCACATTATTTTCTAAAATGTTTAATTGTACTTATTTTTTTAAGTGAAACCACTAAGTATATTTGATTTTCAAATAGCAACCAATTATTCAAATCATTGTGTGCCACTCCGCCGCACAAATGATGTTCCATTGCATTGCCCTACCCACACTTAAAAGTAGGGTTTGACTAAAATTAAAATTGTGGATACCACAGTGTATTACAACTAAAACTTCATCTATATATGGAGTTTTTAATGTAAATTGCTATTTAAAAATCAAAAGTGAGTAGTTATTTTACCATCAAAAATAAGAAAAAAATATAACAATGTAAAATATATGATTCTGAGAAGTTTTTACATGAGCAATTTTTTTTTTAAATAAGTATTTCACGGACAATTTATTGTAAAGTGGACGGTTAGACCATTTGGTTTTTTTTTTTTTTTGGATGCCTTGATTATCTAATCAAGGGCTGCAATTTTTCGAAAATAATAAGAAACTAACGATAAATAAAAGTTTCAGAATCAAAAAACATTAAAAACAAAAATCGCAATATGAACATTATTATTTACGTGTATTAATAAAACGGAAACTAATTGTATCTGAAGCTAAATACTAGAATTTCAATGTTACTAATAAATTCGACGTAGTCATTTTTAGTTATAGTTGTTACCAGTTATCATTTTCAGACAACTGCCTACGAGTCCAGTATACGTTATAAATAAAAATAATAATTCTTTTTTTACTCTTGTATGTATAATATATAATTATATTTGTATATATATATTTAAAAATGTTTTCAGGAAGGGCAATTTCCCCTATCGTAACACAGTACGTAACATACATACTTGAACAATACATTTTAATCTAGTTTTATGAAATGTTTCATATTATTTTATTTTTTAAGGCTTGAATTATATATTCCATGATTCAATTATCACCCCTAATATAATTAATTTAAAATATACATCGGTTAATAGCATATTGTAAAACAAAACATTATGCACCTGTTTCTATGTATAGCATACGTTGTGTACGTATGGTACACTTCAAAAACGCATACAAATTGAAGTATAATATTAATTTTAATGAATCGATTTTTTTTTTTTTTTTTTGTTTCAGGTATGGTGCATGATGGCTTATTAGTTTATTTAATATTCTGAAAATGATGATATTTTATCGAGGATAAAACATAATCGATTAGTTCTATAATGGGTGATATCAATAAAGGTATGTATGTATATTGAATGTTATTTTTATCGTATATATACAAATACAGAACGTTATTATGACGCGTGGTGTCTATGTCATATTTGTATTTTAGTACATTAATATGTATATTTTATATTATAATGTTTCGTATTGTTAAATATTTGAATTTAAAAAATTGTATTATTTTAGGTGTAGTATCGAAATATTGTAAATTATTTCGTTACCTATACTAAAAAAAAAAAAAATGTAATGATAATTCCCTTCTTTCAAAAAAAAAAAAAAAAAAAACAACCGTTATTCAGAGATTCTATTGAAGAGATTTCTCTTAAAAGTATCGAAAAAATCTATTTAGTACAAGATGGAAAATACGAATCATCGTAATCGCCTTTTAGAGGGCATATTGCAACTGATGCCGAAAGTAGGAGACTCGCCCGCCTGCCAACTCAAAAAATCGCGTTCATTGATGATGTAGTGGTAGATCGGAAGTTCGGGTGGTAAGGTATATTATGTATACAGTGATTTAGTTGAATTCACGAATGCGACGATGAATAATCGATATAGAATACGGTTCTATAAGTGGAACTCGTGGTTAAACACGGTAGGTATGCATTTTTTACTGGAAAACGAAATAATTTACAATATTTATATATTATATCTAAAATACATGTGAGTTGTGAAGATAATGTGATGCAGATTCATGCTGATTATTTGTATGCTAATTATTGGCCGAACAATTTCTTTGGTATGGAGTCGAGGAGTGAAATTTTTAAAATTATCTCGATTTACATCTTTAGACAGCGATTGCTGTAAATGACGTCAATCAATTGTAAGCTTTTAACTTTACAAATGACATAAAATAAATTGATTATTTTTTTTAAAGTATATTAATTTTATTCAAATAATTATGAAGTTAATAATTTAATTTAACGATTATAGTGATATAATAGTCGTACAATCGTAATCAATCTTCATTTTACTTTTACATTCTACATTTACATATTTTTACTTAGAGATAATACGAGTACACAATGTGAACATTTCGCAATTACCTAATTCGGAATTTTTCTGATTATACTAGTTAATTTTGTTTAGGATTTTCTTACCTTAACAAATAAATATTCAAATCGTATATATTCAGTATTTGTTCAAGTTGTTACGCATCCGTGATCGATGTGTTTTAATGAAAGTAGTTGTCGATTAAAATAATGTATGTGTTCTGGATAGTATACAGTATTTAAAGTATAAAAACATTTTGTTTTCTTATTTTTTAATTAAAATAAAATCAATAAATCAAGTAATACGAACCGAGGAAATATACCAATACTGCAAAGTTCTGTTTGTAACGGCGTTCTCGAAAAATGAGTTTTAATCGTTTTGTTATGGGTATAGGTAAAATTATGGTTCAAAAATCAGAATGATCATTTTATTTTATTTTATTCGTTTATATTTGATCAACATAATATTGTACCGAAATAAATTGTGTAATGTATATTATGCACTTACTAATTTGAATATTATTATATTTTGATTATATTGTTGTTATATTTATTATTTTTTACGGTCTTATAACAGTGTTATCAAAATAATATGTTATTGGGTATACTGAACCAGATGTAGGACTAGTGGTTAAATTAGTTCCTTTAGGTACCTTTCTTAAAAACAAAAATATTTTTATATATTAAATACATTCAAATTCAAAATTTAACAAGAATTTTATGTTTGATATCTATCAAAATTAAGTTTTTATTATTTTATTTTATTTTATTAACGCCAAACTGCAATTTACAAAGAATAAATTAAAATGAAACGATAACAGTAAATATCGATTTTGATAGACTGGAAACTAAGATGATTACATGCAAAATAATAAAAAAAAACGGTAACGAAAATTGTAACCATGTCATGACAAAATTTGTTTTTGAAATCTCTTATCGTGACAATAGAAATATGGAAATTCGCGTTGTGTTAAACAATTTTTTTGAATTCGGGGTCTAAATAAAAAAATTTCGGGAAAAAACGCTCTTGGGAAAAATATCCTAGAAAAAAAATCCAAATTTTTTTTCAGTCTGTAAATAACTTTTCGAAAAAAAATTTTGCTCCAATGTTTAAAGTGTAGCATATTTTCTGAAAATAAATCTTATCTAATTGGTATATTAGAGAGTTCATTTTTGATTTTCCAAGTGTTTTTAAAATAATTATGAAAAATAAAATTGTACGTAAAACAGCAAAATTTTTATGAAACACTGTAGCTTTACCGAGTTGTATTGTTTTTTATTTTTGTAAACTATGTTTTCTACTAAAAATATTGCTCCAATAGAAAAATAATAAGAGGTAGTTTTTTTGTTTTGATTTTCCGTATAGATATATAGCAAACATGAATGAATACGTAGAAAAAACGGACACATTTACGGAAATAATTCTTTTATTATTTTTTACTTAATTTTTTTGTTGTAATAGAGTAAAAAATCCTGACTGAAAACTTATATTTACTATTAAAGGCGTGGTAAAATCTTAAAAACATTTGAGCTATTTTTGAGCTTTTTATAGACATTGTAAATTTATGAGTTTTTTTACGTTTTTTTACATTATTCGGGCACAAGGTACTTTGTAAATTAAATTGTTAGACTAGACAAAAATGCTCGAGAATTTAACAGAAGATTCATTATAAATCGAACTTAGTGATCAAAATTTAAAAAAATTAAATGTAATGAAGAAGGTATTTTTTTTTATTGAGTATTACAATCAAATTTTGACAAAAACCGTAAATATTATAAACAATCTAAATCTACGCCTATAATAATAGAACTTTAAAATCTCAAATGATTAATAGGTTAGATACAATATACATAACATATGTGCGTCACATACACAATATGATGGTTTTTACATTCGAATATTATATATTATATTCTGAAGATATGAACGCTTTGTAAGTTCTAAAATCATTGTATTTAATCCCTATGTATATAGTATTATTCTCTTACATAAGTAATGCACCAAGATGATACTCGTACCGCAAATCCTATATAGCTTACCGCGGTGAGAAATTGTTTTACTCCTCACTAACTGTATAAGTTTAAAGGAATTATTATAATATTCGTTGATCCTCTTAAATAATATGTGCAAAAATAAATACAATAAATAAAATTTAAAAAAATTAATTGTATTAAAGTATGAATAAAACTATTTTTAAAATTTTTGTTCTAGGGTTTTTGGGGCTATTTATAGGCATTTCAATTTTGTGAGTTTTTACGTAATATTTATTCGGTCAGAGACAATAGGCCATTCATTATAAAACGTCATACTTGTGGTAAAAAAAAAAATGAGTTCAATGTAGAATTTTTTTTATATGAATTTATAATTATATCAAATTTTGACAAAAACCATATAAATATTTTAGCCATTCAAAACATATAGGTATACTTGTATAACCGAACGGACTCAATATTTTTTTGTTAGCAATAATTAATTGTTGCGATGTACATTATATCCCCTCTAAATCCTACATTCCTAACTTCCCACTGAAATTAGTGGTTCACTCATCGTGTGAAGTATTTTTTTAATTTTACATATAATGCAGTGATGCAACCGTAAATTTCGCGTGAAAATAATTGATAACTAAAGATTAAGTGATACGAACCATAATTGATGCATATGCAGCAGCAGTGGCGACCACGAAATAATCTCAGATTAGATTTTTCGAGAAGTCCATTGAGAATTTTCCTCGAAACTCAAACTATATTATTGTTATCTCGTAAAAAAACTTGTTATTTTCCCGGAAGATCCAGATTTACCGCAAAAATAGCGATACCTAGGTAACCGTTGGCAGACAAAACATCACTTAAAGTATAAAATGATTATTTTTATTGTGTGGTTAATATGATGGCTTATAATTAACTTCAATGTACACAGAAATTATGGATTTCAATGTTATATTATTGTTTAAAGTGATGAGATGTTCTCGTTTTAGATTCTGAGAGAAACAAAAAGCTTATGGTTTTAAAAAGATGTTTATTATTATTATTATTATTTTTATATCTGTGCGTAACTTATTTTACCAGTAAATCTTGTTCCGATTTTTAAGTGTAGCGCCTTTTCTGAATGTAAATTGGTGTAGTGGGGGAGTACCTTTAAAATGTCATTTTTCAATTTTTTCAACAGTTTTTTTATTAAATGTGAAAAATAGAAAAATAAAAACGGGAAAATGTATGAAATATATTACTAAAATTTTACGAATTATTTTCCTGTGAACAACTTTTCTACCTGCAATTTTTCTGAAAGGTAATCTGACTGGGGTGGTACTTTAAGGAGGTTAATTTTCGATTTTCTCAAATGTTTTTCCAAATGGAAAATTGAAACGATGCATTAAATAAATAATATTAAAGAAAATATATAAACCCCATTTAATTACTTTACTATAATATGATATTTATTTTGTTAACAAAGCATCACTATCAACTGAACTCCGCTCAGAATCGTTTTTAGTAAGAAATGGTTTATCGTAGCTATACATTTATACAAATAATTTACAGACATATATTAAATTACCTACAACTGTGGCTGCACTCATTCCCACTATCCTAGGACTTTTTTTTTTTATTTTTATATCGCACGTGTTGTCTTATATTGTTAAAGTATATTTACAAAGAGAAAATAATCGTCATTTTAGAAAAGTAAACATACATTTGTGCCATTTTTTTAATTTTTTTACTTTTCGAGAGGAGCAATTCTGAACTATTGCTGATTATTATCAACAATGCACGCATTGGTTTGTGGTTTTTTCAATGCAGACATTTTTTTTTGTTTCAGGTAGTAGAAAATCTTTGTTATTTTTACATGGTGAATATCTATCTAGTTTTTAATTGCATGGATTTTCAAATAGGTGTTCAAAAATATAAAAATTGGATTTATAAAAAAAGTTCGTTTTAATTAGTTAAAACCTGTTTTTAAAACGAATTTTTATTGAAATATTTAAACTGTTTGAAACAAAAATTTGTATTATTTATTTTTATATACAAAGAAATGATAAGAATTACACAAAAAAAAAAAAAAATCGATTTTGTTAGTGTACCTTTGACAGTTATACACATTTAATTATTTTCAATACTTGTAATTTTTGAAAATTAATTTCAAAACAGCTAGTTTGTTATGTTATTTATGAAATAGGATATTTATTTCTTTAGACTTCCGGTATCGATTTATTTGAATATACATATTTGTATTAATTTTTAACGAAGTCATTCATCCATAGGTATAATTATTATTTTAATACAAGCTTTTCTCTTCGTGAACATTTTTTTTAAAAACTTGACTGCGTATAAAATAAAATTAAACGATATTAATCGACGTCAAATTTAAATATAACAATATTCCAAAATATTTATTTAATAAAAGTCATGTCATTAAATAATGTTTATCAAAATATTATGCATTATTTCGTACATTAAATATACGAAAAAAAAAAAAAAATAAATCGTTAATTTGACCTCTAAAAGGTCACATTCGCATAAATCTATACCCTCCCAGAGTTCATAAATATTATACCTATATCAATGAATGACATCTAACTGTTTTAAACGGCAAATTAAATTTGATGGATTTACGATACAGGTAATAATTTTAATATTTTCTGTATCAGTTTTTATATTTTTCGTTTTTTTGAATTGCGTTTCCAAATGACAATAGTTACTCTTTCGTCACGAAGAACAATGTTAAGCCTGGTCCACATCATAATAGTTATCTAACTATAATAACATCTATGTATCACATAGACAGTGTTAAAACCACCCTGACAAAATAGATACTTAAGATTACATCGTAATTTTTTATAATCATTTTATCTCTAAATAATTCGTTTATTATTTAAATGATACTTAATTTTTATCTGTTAACATTATCTATATTTGGCCTATTTGGTGTTTTTACTTCTGTAACTGATCAATTATACCTCTTCGTAATATAATTTCATAACCTATACCCAGATATTTAAACTCATTGTTCATTTACTTGGTTTTATTTTTATTTTTTTCATACTAATTTTTACCTTATTTTGTGTACGTACCTAAATATTTTTTAATATACAATTCCATTATTATAGTTTATGAACTGTATTAGAATTTATCTAGATAATTATTTATTTTTCTTTTATGTAGATAAATAATTTCAATTTACCTAAATATTTATGACAGATAAATTTTTCACTTATTTAGATAAATGTTTCTGTTTATTATTATTACTTTTTTTTTTATTTTTGTTAAAAGTTTATCCTCTGTCGAAAATGTTTTAATTTTAAAGTGTATAATTTATTAATAAGATTAGTAATATTAATTATACATAGTATACAAATAGGTATTAATGAATTAATAAATAATTCACGTTGTTAAATTAAGTTTATTTTAAGTATTTAAAATTGCCAATCTCAGAGAAGACAATTAAACTAAATTTTTATTGTCAACTTTTAATTTTTCGTTGATGTTTCCTAATTCAGTTTAGGTTTAGGAAATCCAAATTGAATTTACAAATACGTTTTGGTAGTCAGTTTTAGCTCTGTGTTGTAACATTAAACAAATTTTTTTTTTTTAACCTGGATAAATTATTATTTAATTTTTTTTATTTTTATTTAGATAACTTTTTATTCATCTAGTCTGAACACAGTATATGAGATATATGTTCGAAATCTATACAAATAAAATGTATAACTTAGTACTCAGTAGTATTTGAATGGTTTATTTTTCTTTTAAATATAAAATACACTAGTTTTATTCACTTTTCGGTAAAATAAACGCTTTTTCGACGTATTTATATGTGAAATGATACATTATAATATATACATAATAGCTGGATACAGAAACGTTCTTTTCAAGACATTTCTACACTGTCAACGATATTTATTACGTTTTACGTAGTGTTTGGAATATATATATATGTATATGAGATAAAAAGTAAGACACGGTGAAATATATTGATATTAGTTTTAAACTTTGTATAAATATTATTCAAAAATATAGAGCAACATTTATATTATGCATTTTGGTTTATATAATTTTACTGGAATATAAACATAAACGAATACAGGAGACTGGTGCAACTACTGTCGTAGGTGGGAAATTGGGTATTTAAGATCGTCCTTTTTTTTATAAATTTTAAAATCATTAAATTGTACGTTTTCCTACGTTTTTTCCCACTTAAGGGCTTTTATTTAAAAAATGGAGTCAAAAACCAAAAAAATGACTTTTTAAATTACTATCTAGACAACTTAAGTTTTCAGAAAAGGTGCTATACTCGTATATATACAATGGAGCAAGTTTACTAGGAAAAAATCTTGTCCACAGACTAGAACATAGAATAAATAAATACAAAAAAAAACAGTATTGTAAAACCAAAGCTCCCTCGCTACGCTCGGAATCTAAAATGTATAATAACTGTGATATTGATATCCACTAGCTTGTGTTTTCAAGGACCGATTTTAAAATACATAATTTAACGCAAGCGGTCAATTAAAATATTATATCGAGTGATTTTTTTTTTTCTGAAATAGACTTACATTATAGTGAAAAACGATTATGTATTACAATGTACCTAAATAAAATGTGTTAGTATTATATATTGTGTACTTACATAAATTAATAACCACGAACTATGCTCGACCTACTCATTATAATATGTATACTAATACATTGTAGATTTTCCTTACGTCTTTTCTTGGCTTTCTTAATTGTTCATTATTACGAAAAAAAATCGAAACCATCTAAAATAATTAAATTGTTAATGCCGTGCCGTAAATTTGTCAGTTTTTTCTATAACTTTGTTTCCAGTTTTCACAATTATTATGAAAATCTTTTGAAAAATCAAAAAAGTGTTATTTTTTGATCGGATCAAGATTTTTGGCGGAAAAGTTATTTACAGATAGAAAAAATAAAAAATAAACCGAAAATATTATTGTAATAAAAAATTATTCAAAGTAGTGTTAAAAACCCAATGGGGCTATTAGTAGTTTTTTTTCTTACTGCATAAAACTTAGCCTAACCTTCCTGGGGAAACCGGGAAAAAATAAAATTGAGTGTAAGCCCCGTTAGAGAACTTAAGATGTATACAATTCTGGCTTTGAGATATCGACCGACCCACCTCCTGAGTTTATGTGCAGATTATATTTAAAATGTCAGAACTTTTGATGTCGGGATTTTTGTCTACAACCATGGCGCATCATCATATTATTTTTCGTCGGTTTATCCTTTATGTTATTTAAAAAGAAAAACCTGACAATTTTAAAAATATGACCTCACGAACGCATTAACCACGAGGAAAATAATGTTACTGAAAACCGTCATTGTTGTATATTTTTTTTTATCGGAGCAAGTGTTCTGGACGAAATCGTGTTATCAGACAAAAAAAAAAGACAATACACACACACACACACACACACACACACACT